TCGGCTGCTCTGTATTATCGGCTACTCTGTATTATCGGCTACTCTGTATTATCGGCTACTCTGTATTATCGGCTGCTCTGTATTATCGGCTACTCTGTATTAGGAGTTAAGAGTTCATTATGTTGTATTGTTCATGGGCTAACCAAGCGTTAGCAATTGTTACAACAAAACAATTCTGGTTATCTCTGCATTCCCAGAACGTTAGGGATGTTCTGACAATGTTCCTTCATTTTTAGTTAAATAAACAACATGAAGATTTATTGGAATTAGTTCAAAGATGTCAGTCTGACTAGACAAGATGAACGCTCACTCTGAGGGAACCAAACCTTCACAAACAAACTACATCACTCTGAGGGAACCAAACCTTCACAAACAAACTACATCATTTGGGATGAGCTGTAGTGTTTATCTAGTTAGCATGAGAAAGAGAGGAGACTGTAAATGATGACCTTGTAAGAGCCTGTCAAGCCTGACAACATGTCTCCCTCCTACTTCACCTTGATTACAACCTACTGTAGCCAACAATAACAGGCGGAAACTCAGGTGGAGGAAAACAATGATTATCCGTCTGGTTTACCCCCTCCAGTGGTCAGTGGCATCGTACCTGGTAGGGAGTTAGGACACCGACAACAGTTTAGCCTTCCTCATATTATTGTCACGACACTGCTGTTTTCATGCCTGGTCCCAGATCTGTTTGTGCTGTCTTGCCAACTCCTGTTCAAATCTGGGGCCAGGCTAGCTGTTCTATATCAACAGCTGAACACAACTCAACATTCTCAATAAAAAGATGTGGGGCCAGGCTAGAGTGTGTGTGTGTGTGTGTGTGTGTGTGTGTGTGTGTGTGTGTGTGTGTGTGTGTGTGTGTGTGTGTGTGTGTGTGTGTGTGTGTGTGTGTGTCTGTGTGTGTGTGTGTGTGTGTGTGTAAGGGTTTAAAATCATCTGGAAGGCAGAGGCACACTAAATAGCCATGAAAGTGTGATGAAATGGGAGATGCTCATTATTGCTTGATTGATTTGTTTTACCACCAGCAGCAAATCTATACGCTGTGGAATAAAAGTCTTAAGAAGGTTTTATAAAACCAACGGAGCAACTGAACGATTCCTTATGCAGTGCATCTACGTTCGACCAGGGCTCATGGGAGACGTCCTTACTTTGAGTTGATACTGTAACCAAGGCCTCCATTGGAGGTTTTTATAGACATCCCTTCAGGCTAGTAACTGCCTCAGCCTTGCTGCTGACTATAGTAGCAGCTATAGGTGGCTTTGTATTCAGCCACACCCGGGGTGTGATACGCCTGACAAAGGAATACGGTTCGCCACAAATATTTGATAGAATGGCCTGTGGCCTTGTAGATGAGGAGCTTCCTGTGTAGGACTGACTCAGGGCAGTGTTAAATGACACCCTATTCCCTATATAGTGCACTACTTTGGACCAGGGCCCATGGGGCACTATGTAGGGAATAGGGGGCCATTTGGGACACACAGAGAACGTACGCCCACGCTCTCTCTCAGAACCGCATTCACTGGGTGTGAAGACTTGACTGAGGAGGAATTAATGCCTTTGTGGTTTGGTTGTTTTTTTTTGCTCAATAAGAAGCATTTCTCAAAAATAGCTCCTAGTAGTATGCTGGTTTTTCCTGTTTCGAGTAACTCCTACATTAAGTATTATACTGTAACAGAGAGAGAGAGATTAGATTGTTTGTCTGTCACACAACAGGTAGGGTTATAAGACAACAGGTAGGGTTATAACACAACAGGTAGGGTTATAAGACAACAGGTAGGGTTATAACACAACAGGTAGGGTTATAAGACAACAGGTAGGGTTATAAGACAACAGGTAGGGTTATAACACAACAGGTAGGGTTATAAGACAACAGGTAGGGTTATAAGACAACAGGTAGGGTTATAACACAACAGGTAGGGTTATAAGACAACAGGTAGGGTTATAAGACAACAGGTAGGGTTATAACACAACAGGTAGGTTTATAAGACAACAGGTAGGGTTATAAGACAACAGGTAGGGTTATAAGACAACAGGTAGGGTTATAAGACAACAGGTAGGGTTATAAGACAACAGGTAGGGTTATAACACAACAGGTAGGGTTATAAGACAACAGGTAGGGTTATAACACAACAGGTAGGGTTATAAGACAACAGGTAGGGTTATAACACAACAGGTAGGGTTATAACACAACAGGTAGGGTTATAAGACAACAGGTAGGGTTATAACACAACAGGTAGGGTTATAAGACAACAGGTAGGGTTATAAGACAACAGGTAGTGTTAACACAACAGGTAGGTTTATAAGACAACAGGTAGGGTTATAAGACAACAGGTAGGGTTATAAGACAACAGGTAGGGTTATAAGACAACAGGTAGGGTTATAAGACAACAGGTAGGGTTATAAGACAACAGGTAGGGTTATAACACAACGGGTAGGGTTATAACACAACAGGTAGGGTTATAAGACAACAGGTAGGGTTATAACACAACAGGTAGGGTTATAAGACAACATGTAGGGTTATAACACAACAGGTAGGGTTATAAGACAACAGGTAGGGTTATAACACAACAGGTAGGGTTATAACACAACGGGTAGGGTTATAACACAACAGGTAGGGTTATAACACAACAGGTAGGGTTATAACACAACAGGTAGGGTTATAACACAACAGGTAGGGTTATAAGACAACAGGTAGGGTTATAAGACACCAGGTAGGGTTATAAGACAACAGGTAGGGTTATAAGACAACAGGTAGGGTTATAAGACAACAGGTAGGGTTATAAGACACCAGGTGGGGTTATAAGACAACAGGTAGGGTTATTGTAGATCTAGCTCAACAAATATAATAAAGAGGTACAGACCAATAATATCAAGCTAACCACAGTATGTATCAGTGGTATTACTGAGGTTATCAAGCCTGTAATGATCGTGTTCAAATATTTTCCTACAGCTCTCCTATTAGCTTCTTGATCAGACTGACTTCTAACAAGAACTGTAACTGGCTGCAGTAACTGTAACTGGCTGTAGTAACTGTAACTGGCTGTAGTAACTGTAACTGGCTGTAGTATATGTAACTGGCTGTAGTAACTGTAACTGGCTGCAGTAACTGTAACTGGCTGTAGTATATGTAACTGGCTGTAGTATATGTAACTGGCTGTATAACTGTAACGGCTGCAGTAACGTAACTGGCGTGTAGTATATGTAACTGGCTGTAGTATATGTAACTGGCTGCAGTAACTGTAACTGGCTGTAGTATATGTAACTGGCTGTAGTATATGTAACTGGCTGTAGTATATGTAACTGGCTGCGGTAATTGTAACTGGCTGCAGTAACTGTAACTGGCTGTAGTATATGTAACTGGCTGTAGTAACTGTAACTGGCTGTAGTATATGTAACTGGCTGTGTAATGTAACGTGTAATACTGGCTGTAGTAACTGTAACTGGCTGTAGTAATGTAACTGGCTGTAGTAACTGTAACTGGCTGTAGTATACTGTAACTGGCTGTAGTAACTGTAACTGGCTGTAGTAACTGTAACTGGCTGTAGTAATGTAACTGGCTGTAGTATATGTAACTGGCTGTAGTAACTGTAACTGGCTGTAGTAACTGTAACTGGCTGTAGTAACTGTAACTGGCTGTAGTAACTGTAACTGGCTGTAGTAACTGTAACTGGCTGTAGTAACTGTAACTGGCTGCAGTAACTGTAACTGGCTGTAGTAACTGTAACTGGCTGTAGTATATGTAACTGGCTGTAGTAACTGTAACTGGCTGTAGTATATGTAACTGGCTGTAGTAATGTAACTGGCTGTAGTTTGAACTGGCTGTAGTATATGTAACTGGCTGTAGTAACTGTAACTGGCTGTAGTATATGTAACTGGCTGTAGTAACTGTAACTGGCTGTAGTAACTGTAACACAGCACTCCACCTACACAGCTCATTGGTCCCAGTTTCTCTGACAGTAATGAGCTTTTTGAAAGTGTTATCTCTGGTAATACCTGGGATGCCTCCCAAATGGTACCCTGTGGGCTCTGGTCAAATGTAGTGCACTATATAGGGAATAGGGTGCCATTCTCTGGTCTAATGTAGTGCACTATATAGGGAATAGGGTGCCATTTGGGATGCCATTGTGGTAATTCCTCTCTGGTGTGGGTGGGTAATACTGTAATGGCATGTCAATACAGAGACATGGAAATGAATGTGTGAAAACAGCAGAAATAGCTTCCGTAAGCAGTTAAGCTTCTCTGTTCCTTGAGGTAATTTGAAATGGCACGGATTTGGGCCTTTAACGTATTTATAGACGGATTAAAATGTATCCGACGTTAAAAGCTCAAATCTAATTTCATGTTTGAAGTTCTGTAATTTTGTCTTGAAAATTTCACAGAACTAATAACACAACGGTTTTGACCCCGTTTTTAAAGTACTAAACTGACACCAGACACAGTCTTGAGGTGGTCAATTACTGCCCAGGTGAGGTACCTTCTCTGGTATTGTATTTTGTGTCGCATAGCGGCAGGTAGCTTAGTGGGTAAGAGCGTTGTGCCAGTAACCGAAAGGTCGCTGGTTCTAATCCCTGAGCCGACTAGGTGAAAAATCTGTCGATGTGCCCTTAAGCAAGGCACTTAACCCTAATTGCTCCTGTAAGTCGCTCTGGATAAGAGCGTCTGCTAAATGACTGAAATGTAAATTAAAATGAGTATGTCCTATAGCATGTGCTTGTTTGGTATACATATAAAAACATATAAAAGGGTAAATGGTGGTATCGAAATGACAGCCACGAAGAAATGTACCAATGTATGCCTTTTGAGTCATCATGGACAAGATGCTCAAATGTTTTTGCCTACTATATTTCATTCCAGATGTGGTCTTTCCAGCACAGTGCTTTACCGCCCCCCAGCGGACAAATGCGGCATAACATCTTATTATTTTCACGAATCAGATAAAGAGAAGATCTCTGCGAATCAGAGTTGAGAGAACATGTCACATGACCAACTGTGGCGAAGTCAAAGACAGATCTTTGAAGCCATTTCGGCCATTGTGGAAAGTGGAAAGGACCTCGCCAAGAAAGGACAAAATAAAGCGTTGAAAGGCAGAGAAAAAGGACAAGACAACAACTGTCGAATCTGCCAGTAACTCGCGATTGTAGAGATGGTCCAATCGTGCTCTGCTTACGGATGCAAAAACAGATATCATAAAGACAAAAACATTTCATTTCACAAGTAAGTTCAACTCCGACCTCAACACGGTCACTCTACAGAAAACTAGCATGATCATACATGCTCGAACTGTCTAGCGTTGTCTTGCTTAATATCTAGCCAGTTAGCTAGCTATTATCACAGCTTTCGCACAGTTGTTGAGAATCGCAAGATTCCCCATGACCTAGCCTCGTCGCGAACCAGGCTTCACTAAAACGGGATACGTGACAACGACGTGATTTTGGAGGTATGGCAACTCGAGGCTACCCATAACCTAGCTAACTAGCTTCTGTTACCTTAGTTGTAATTGGGTTCAACGCGTCGAAATAGTTACCCATCATGGCGCTGTTAGTGTTGCTTATAAATAGTAGATTTCAATGTTATTGCTTCCACTCACTGATATCTTGTGAACGTTTGCTACGTTCCATCATGCATCAGACAGGTGCTACGGTCCATCATGCATCAGACAGGTGCTATGGTCCATCATGCATCAGACAGGTGCTACGGTCCATCATGCATCAGACTGGTGCTATGGTCCATCATGCATCAGACAGGTACTACGGTCCATCATGCATCAGACAGGTGCTACGGTCCATCATGCATCAGACAGGTGCTACGGTCCATCATGCATCAGACTGGTGCTACGGTCCATCATGCATCAGACTGGTGCTACGGTCCATCATGCATCAGACTGGTGCTACGGTCCATCATGCATCAGACAGGTGCTACGGTCCATCATGCATCAGACAGGTGCTACGGTCCATCATGCATCAGACAGGTGCTACGGTCCATTATGCATCAGACTGGTGCTACGGTCCATCATGCATCAGACTGGTGCTATGGTCCATCATGCATCAGACTGGTGCTATGGTCCATCATGCATCAGACTGGTCCTACGGTCCATCATGCATCAGACTGGTGCAACTGTGGGGATCTATTTTCTTATAACTAGATGTGATGCCTAGCTTAGAAATAATACATTAATGATTAAACATAATAGGTTTGTACTGATACAGATTGTTTAATATAACAAGCTGTGATTAATGTGGGGAACTGTTAGGGGGTAGGATGAGGTAAGACTTGTGTCTCACATACACACACACTGCCTCTTTGTTAAACCACTCAAGGACATGTGTTCTGCTACAAAGATGTCTGAGGTTGCTGACTCGAGACAAGTTGTAAAGATAACAACTAATGCCTGGCAACAGTGAAGCGCCAAGGGTCTGGGACCAGCCTGAGAGCCAACGATAGGCTGAGTAAGTCTAAACCACGCTCAGTCTCTACTCTGATAGGCCAGCAGGGAGCAGGAACTATCTCTGTCAGAGTATTTAAAGAGGAACTTATAACAATGGCTCAGTTCTCTGACTGCCCTGCATGGTGTTTCAGTGGACCCGTACATACGAACATCATATTTACCGTTGAAGTGTTTTGCATCTAATTAAAATACTAGTCTATTTTAGAAGATGTGTATTGACCTCTTTTTGTTCCTATACCAGATTTGAATTGACGCAACTTAACACAATGTTCCATCATGCATCAGACTGGTGCTATGGTCCATTATGCATCAGACTGGCATCCCAATCACGAAGCTGAAGTTGGCTACAGTGAGGGAAAAAGTATTTGATCCCCTGCTGATTTTGTACGTTTGCCCACTGACAAAGACATGATCAGTCTATAATTTTAATGGTAGGTTTATTTACACAGTGAGAGACAGAATAACAACAACAAAAATCCAGAAAAACGCATGTCAAAAATGTTATAAATTGATTTTGCATTTTGAGGGAAATAAGTATTTGACCCCTCTGCAAAACATGACTTAGCACTTGGTGGCAAAACCCTTGTTGGCAATCACAGAGGTCAGACGTTTCTTGTGGTTGGCCACCAGGTTTGCACACATCTCAGGAGGGATTTTGTCCCACTCCTCTTTGCAGATCTTTTCCAAGTCATTAAGGTTTCGAGGCTGACGTTTGGCAACTCAAACCTTCAGCTCCCTCCACAGATTGTCTATGGGATTAAGGTCTGGAGACTGGCTAGGCCACTCCAGGACCTTAATGTGCTTTTTCTTGAGCCACTCCTTTGTTGCCTTGGCCGTGTGTTTTGGGTCATTGTCATGCTGGAATACCCATCCACGACCCATTTTCAATGCCCTGGCTGTGGGAAGAAGGTTCTCACCCAAGATTTGACGGTACATGGCCCCGTCCATCGTCCCTGTGATGCGGTGAAGTTGTCCTGTCCCCTTAGCAGAACCCCCCCCCCCCCCCCCCCCAAAGCATAATGTTTCCACCTCCATGTTTGACGGTGGGGGATGGTGTTCTTGGGGTCATAGGCAGCATTCCTCCTCCTCCAAACACGGCGAGTTGAGTTGATGCCAAAGAGCTCGATTTTGGTCTCATCTGACCACAACACTTTCACCCAGTTCTCCTCTGAATCATTCAGATGTTCATTGGCAAACTTCAGACGGGGATGTATATGTGCTTTCTTGAGCAGGGGGACCTTGCGGGCGCTGCAGGATTTCAGTCCTTCATGACGTAGTGTGTTACCAATTGTTTTCTTGGTGACTATGGTCCCAGCTGCCTTGAGATCATTGACAAGATCCTCCCGTGTAGTTCTGGGCTGATTCCTCACCGTTCTCATGATCATTGTAATAATAATAATAATATAATATGCCATTTAGCAGACGCTTTTATCCAAAGCGACTTACAGTCATGCGTGCATACATATTTTTTTGTGTATGGGTGGTCCCGGGGATCGAACCCACTACCTTGGTGTTACAAGCGCCGTGCTCTACCAGCTGAGCTACAGAGGACCAACTCTCCACAAGGTGAGATCTTGCAAGGAGCCCCAGGCCGAGGGAGATTGACAGTTCTTTTGTGTTTCTTCCATTTGCGAATAATCGCGCCAACTGTTGTCACCTTCTCACCAAGCTGCTTGGCGATGGTCTTGTAGCCCATTCCAGCCTTGTGTAGGTCTACAATCTTGTCCCTGACATCCTTGGAGAGCACTTTGGTCTTGGCCATGGTAGAGAGTTTGGAATCTGATTGATTGATTGCTTCTGTGGACAGGTGTCTTTTATACAGGTAACAAACTGAGATTAGGAGCACTCCCTTTAAGAGTGTGCTCCTAATCTCAGCACGTTACCTGTATAAAAGACACCTGGGAGCCAGAAATCTTCCTGATTGAGAGGGGGTCAAATACTTATTTCCCTCATTAAAATGCAAATCAATTTATAACATTTTTGACATGCGTTTTTCTGGATTTTTTTGTTGTTATTCTGTCTCTCACTGTGCAAATAAACCTACCATTAAAATTATAGACTGATCATGTCTTTGTCAGTGGACAAACTTACAAAATCAGCAGGGGATCAAATACTTTTTCCCCTCACTGTACTTAGGCTATTCAAAATCGGCAGATTCAGCACTGACCGATGTAAGCCAGTTGGAGGAGCGATGGTTGGATGTAGTTAGCGAACTGTAGTTGTGCTTGGCTAACGTTAGCTATTGCAACAGTGACTAGCTACTTGACTGCAACACAGTAACTACATAACAGTATTTTGTGAACCTTTTGTTTTGTGTTTTGATACCGTAATGCAACAATACTTTGTCATGTATTGCAGGTTCCCACTAGCACGGCCAGACGTGTGTGGAAAATGGGTTGCAGCCATGAGGAGAAACAACTTCAAACCCACCAGATACAGTAATATCTGCTCTCAGCATTTCACTAAAGACTGCTTCAAACCAGAGTGCAACAACCGAGTCCTGAAGGAGAATGCTGTACCTTCGCTGTTCTGTTTCAGTAAACTACAAATCAAGGTAACACATAAAGGAACCTGTAGCCTGGTCTCAGATCTGTTTGTAGGACTTGGCCAATACCTTTGGTCATTGCCACACCTATCACGGCCTGGTCTCAGATCTGTTTGTAGGACTTGGCCAATACCTTTAGGCATTGCCACACCTATCACGTCTGGTGTTACAATTTGCATGACAATGACCTGATAAGTTGACAAGACAGAACACATCTGGCACCAGGCTGGGGTACGTATACCAAACTATCAAACATTGAATTCTTTAGATTTGTACTTACATTTTGTACTTTATTATTATTTTTCATAGGCAGAGTCCTTGGCGGACCCGTTCCCTCCAGAGATGGACTTCCCTCTGACCCTCCCCCTCCTCTCTGACCCAGAAGAGACCCAGCAGGAGGTACAGACAGAAACGCATCAGACTGTAGACCCCCTGCCCCTGGTAGAGAACCTTCCCCACAGCATGTCCGTCTCCTGCGACCACAACTACACCGTAGAGGACACGGTTCAGCAGAAGAAGAGGATCGAACAGCTGGAGGAACAGCTGGACAAGCTGAGGAAGAAGTTAAAGACCGTACAGCAGAAGTGCCGGAGGCAGGAGAGACAATTGAAGAGGTTTAAGGCTATCGGAGAGTTCCAGAGGGCGAACAGGGACCAGGCGCTAGGGGAGGGATATGTGATTCTACCCAAACAGCTTTATGATGTGCTCAAAGGGATTGACCCCGTAGAGGGCCTGTGAAGCCCCAAATACACCTAGCCTGGGCGCCAGTCTGTTTGTGCAATGGCAAACAATGGCTTGACTATGAGCAATGGAGTTGGCAAGACCACAAACCGATCTGGGACCAGGCTAAAATAGGACCCTGGTTTTCCCTGGATCTGCCTTTTTCTTTATTGGGGTGGTCCCAGGTTATCAGTCCCTGCTTTAAAAGGTCTGCGAGAGGACACATCACCCCTCCTAACAGAGGTTTAGCGGATGGCTAAGCTATCCCTACTACCTTCCTGAGACCTGGGAGTACTGTCATCCTGTATCCAGAGGTGTCTTGTCTGGGTCAGTGGTATTGATGGTGATTCTTGTGTATGTTGTGTCAAGTGTGGAGGGTTGAGAGTTTGCGAACCGGTCGGGCGGATTTTCCACTTGTCACAGACATTTTTCTTTTGTAGCATTTTATTTCATTTTCTTCAAGCCGTAATCTGTTAAGGGCAATCCCTCTGAAAGTACAATGACTCTATTTGGGGAGTTGTTTTAGTGTGGTGGAGGAATTAACTCTGTACTGTACGTCATTGTTTAGTATTGGTCAATCTATGCCTACTGTTGGACAAAATGGAATGATAAAATGGAGGGTTTGTAATTTGGTTGGCACTTTCTCTTTCCACTGCAGTGATATGAAATCATTGTAGCTCACTGGTTGTCTGTCAGCTGTGTCACTTTGAACTATTGTTATGGCTGGGAATCAACAACCTTGTGTTGGGTCAGGGGTTCCCAGTGGCGTTCTAAAAAGAAAACATTGGGATGAATATTGCTTAGCAACAACAGATTTTGGACAAGGGATCTGTGGGAATGTTTAGAAGGCACAATTTGTGTTGGTATCCACAGTAACCCATCAATGATGCATCTTTTCAACTCAATTCTTCTTGTATTCCCCCCCCAAAAATGTTGTTTTGACCATAAATACGCTGTAATTTAAACTTAACTGCAAATGGCACACTGACCCATGGCAAAATGTGTAGAATCGCAGGAAATTCGCTTTAAAACTGCAAAATGTTGTCTGGTGCCAGGAGCCCGAGACTTGAATAGTTGGGCCTTGCACTGCAGAGGTCATAGTAAATAGCTTGGATGCTATTTTTTTTTTTTATGCACTCTTAAGTAGGAGTTATGTTCTGATATTATGAGGGGATCCCGGATTAAATAAAAGTTTGGCAACCCCTAATACAGGAAATAGGGTGCCATTTGCTAAATGACGTAAATGTAAATTTAGGAGACACACAATGTAAAGATTTTTGTGGAGAAAGGTCGCTTCAAGGTGAAGTTTCTCTTAGGTACAGATCCAGGGTCAGTTTAACCTCCCCAATCCTGACCTTCACTATTAGTGGGGAAAATGCTAAACTGACCTAAGATCCGTCTAGGAGCAACTTCAACCTACTCCGGTAAAGACTATCTTAGTGGAGAATCTTATCTCTTGTATTTATGTTGAAAAGACCAAGTCAAAGGGCTGTTATTAGGGCTATGATGATATGAATCATATTTAAAGCCATATTTACTAAGGGAAAATGGACCTTGATTTTAACAGGTGTGTTTTGGGGAAAACGTGGTTGCATATTGTGTGCGACCCTGTCTGGTGCAATTAGAAAAATGTTTCTCAAAAATTAAATTGATACCATTATTTATTTGGTTTTGTAAATGATCTGTGTTCATACTTCCCAATTCTCTTATGACCATCCTATTTTGTTACATTTTCAATAGCTTGTGAGGCTGGGATTTTTACAGGAGGCCATTCTCTAGCTTTGTTCACATGGTCAAACTCCCAACGTCTGTTAAGTTATTGATTTCTTTCTGTGTTGGCATATACTTAAGTCATAACTGACCATCTCAGCTTCAACCCCAAAAATACTGTATTGCCTGTTTGCAATAGATGCGGTAGCGGTCAATCGAACTCGACCAAAACAATGGAGTTTCCATGGAAACGCGTGTGGGAAAGACCATGAGTCTCCTCATTGCCCCCCCCCCCCCCCCCCCCAGCTAAATTAGCCTACATGTAGCCTGTTGTTTATATGTGTATTTCACACTGTGAGGTAAAAATCGAAGTATAATGCTTGTATGGGTGTCAACCCCAACACGTGTTCATGTCATCCTTACCAATCAACTGCATTACGGTTAAAAACGACTTGACTACCACAACCGATTTCTGTATGCTAGCAATGCGAACCAGCTGGTACGAGAGTTAGCATTTAGCAGTCACTTCTAAACCGGAAAAGGGACAACTTCTGCATGTTATGCTATGAAAACAGCCAAAATATATCCAAATTGGACTGAAGTAACCACATTGTGGGCTAGTTACAATACATAAATCATGACGGATTTGACTAATATCCACTCTGTTACATCAGATTTGTTGAATGTGCGCCAATCTGGTTAACGGAACGTCTGCATTTACTGCATATTATGGATTGGCTTTCTTGGCACAACTTTTGATAAAGGTGATACCCAGTTATTGCCCCAGTATCTGTGCGTTAAGGCTGATTTACAGTCCGTCTATCGACATATCTGTAGACAATTGTCGTAGCGATATCATGAACATTCTGTTGGCGTCTGACATCAAACTTGTGTTTTCGTTATGAAAAAGTATAAACCCAAAACGACAGCCTCTGCATGACATTAGCAGCCTGGTGCTCCAAATAGCATACTTTCTTTATTTTAACACCAATAAACCCATCCATAAAAAAATTGTATTCAAGGTGTGTTCGTAAAATTCAATCTGGAGTGCCATAGTGCGCTCTGGGAGTTCGTAAATTCAGAGCATTGTCAGATTGTCCGTTCGTAAATTCAGAGCGTTTCGGCTCTCGGAGGGTTCCGAGCACCCAAGCTAACTGGCTAACATTGGCTAGCTAACTGGCTAACATTGGCTAGCTAACTGGCTAACATTGGCTAGCTAACTGGCTAACATTGGCTAGCTAACTGGCTAACATTGGCTAGCTAACTGGCTAACATTGGCTAGCTAACTGGCTAACATTGGCTAGCTAACATTGGCTAGCTAACTGGCTAACATTGGCTAGCTTGCTAGCTACTTCCAGACACAAATGAGAGAACAGCTCACTGACCATTCTACTCGCCCTAGCAGAGCTGGTTAGGCTGTTTTCATGTTATCCAGAGCGTTAGTGACTGTAACTGTGCTGCTGGCAACAATTTAATTACGCTTTTTTTTTTGCCAACCTTTACTGACACCGGCCATATATTCAACGGGTGTTGAGTGTTCGTAAATTATTCTGCGCTCTGGCACATTCAGACGAGAGTGCTCTGAAATCGGAGTAGATAGCCAGAATTAATGTCCATTGGGAACGCATAACGACTATACCACTTAGCTAAGAATAACGTGAATAATCAAGTCAATAAATGTTGGGTATTTAGTTACATTATCGTTAATATACTGCCTGGCAAGTTCAATGTATTAGTAGCCAACTAACGTTAGGTAACTAGCTAACATACCGGTACATACTGCTGTAATGCGGTTCGTAAGGATAGCGTAGCTAACAAATTATCAGCCAACATAACGTGTAATGTAACTTATTTGAAAAGTAATTACTTTATTACATTGCTCCACCTTTTCTTAACATTTGTCATAGTTAGTTAAAGCAGTGAATTTGTATCCGCTCTCGTCGGACTTCGGCTGCATATTTTCCACCATTTTCTTCAAATCTGAAAACGTTGTGAAGCCACGGCCAATTTCTGAAGAATTGCATTATGGGCCCTTAAAGCACGGAAATAGTGTCCACTGCTTGTATACTTCGTATTTTGGCGAATGTAGTACGACATCCAGGAACTTATGGCATACTAACTATAACCATACTATGACCAATAAGCATACTACATACTCAATTTATGTCACAAATAGTAGGGTTAGTGCAGTTAGTATGAGTATTCGAACACAGCTCTGGTCTATGGATATGTTGATAGACCAAGTATAATGCCACATTCAAAACAACTCAGAACTGGGAAATCTCCGACTTCTGAGCGTTCAAGACAACTAGGAACTCGGGGGGGGGGGGGGGGGAAACGAGCTCCGACTGGGGAAATTCGTTTTGAACGGTCATCCAACTCGGAATTCCAAGGTGGGAACTCGGGCCTATTTCTAGAGCTCCGAGTTTCCGACCTGAAGATCACCGAAGTCATGATTCGACCTCGTTTTTTCTGTGTTCCCAATTGTCTTGAAAGCACCATAAACTGGCCTTCAGAGATTTCGACTATGCGTATGACTTGTCTCCTTTAACGCCCAGGAAGCTCAGATTCAAACTCCCATTAGACAGCTCTGCCAGCGTTAAAAAATGTCAAAATACGTTTGTCACTCACCAGATATAGAGATCCGCTGAGCAACTATCTTCATTTACGCCCACACCTGTCGCTATGGGCGGGCCATAGGGGGCCGGGCCCGCCCCCAAAAATGATTGTGCCCCCCCCCACTTGAGGGAATTTATTATTAAATATAGGTACTGTAGGCTAATAATAATTGTGCCCTGCCCTCCCATGCATTTCATATGCCCCCCTTAAGACTGAGGTCTGGCGACGGGTCTGTTTACGCCCATTACAGCCGGCATGTACTTTCAAAAAAGGTGTAAATAAAAATGTACAAGCAACCAGAAAAAAAAAGCCTATTCTGCACCTCCAATCACTCATTACTGCCACGCACAGGTCGGAAGTCGACAACATCCCGATGCACTGGAATACTGATTTTGTGCAGGTAATATATTTTTTTTACATCACCAGATGTCTTTGTAAAACAGTGTTTCTCTAGTTTCAGCACGAGATGGCACTATTGTTAAAACTACAGTAAGGCCATGTAAATTAGTTTGTAACCGGACCCTTTTTGATCCCGTGGTTGTTAAAGCTGTAATAAATTAACTTTATTTGTTCTAACAGCCGATATTGCAATTCTAAGTGTCTAAGAGGAACCTGTGTGGCCTTCCTCCCATATTGGGAACACAACATCGGTTTCTATGTTCTGTGCAGCCACACGGTCCTCCTCCGCGTTGCTGTTGGTCGGTGTCGTTTCTCCTCGCTGTGGGAGACGGAGCACTAGCCGGAGACGGGCAGTTGTGTGTGGGATTTCTAGAGGAACGACGGCCGGAGAGCATATGGT